ATGAGCTGCCTGTCTTTTCGGAGGAGCCCAATAAGAGCCCTCAACGAGCGGCACTGTCAATCAGGAGGCGCCGGAGGCCAATCAGAGTGGGAGGACTTCCGCGGCGCTGGCCCTGTGCGGAGTTTCGGGGAGGGCCTTGAGTTCATTCACAACATTCCTCCCCGCCCCCCTTGGGCTGGACAGCGCGCCCGGGGCAGCTGGAGCTGCGCCCACATACGGCTTTGTTTACCGAGGGTCGCTTCCGGGCGCCGGGAGGGGACAATCCACACGGCTCAGCCGGGGAGCGAGACAGAACGACGGGATCCCCAGGCAGCAGCTCAGCCCCCTTTTTCCTCTGGTCTGTGTGACGCGAGAAAATCCCTGGGCGCCGGGTCGTTTTGATAGCTGGGGTGGGGGAAGATCACTGGCCCCTTATTAGTGCTCTTGGGGGCTGCGGACCTCCTCTCTAGAAATAGAGCACAAGTCAAGCCCATTGTGAGCCCCAAGGTAGGAAGCCCCAGTCCATTTTATGCCCTAAATATGTCATTGAGTCATATGAAATTGCTGATTTTCGACCATTTATGACTTATTAAAATGGCAATTTCATAAGGTTTGACGAAAGACGTGTCAAATACGACCACCTGTGAATATTTTTTCTGACAACATCTTTGGCCTGGAAGATTTTCCAGGCAACATCTTTGGCCTGGAAGTCGGCCATGGTCTTTATCCACTCCCAACCCCTTGCCCTTAGAGAATCCTGCATTTTCCTTTGCCACACCTCTGCCCGTTATCATTACATTTCTTTAGTTCAGCAGTTGTTTGTTTCTCCCTCTCTACGGTGAGCCCTAATAGGCCAATTGGTGCACTGCTTTATCACCAGCACCTAAACAGCATCAGGCATATAGCAGTCAATCTATATATACCTCATTGAGTGAACCACTCATGCTTTGCTCCCATTCTGTTGAAATGATCTACAGAACAGGAAAAAACCAAGCTCGCCCCTAAGTGGCCTCATTGCTGCCCCTCCCCATATGGAAACTCTGGCTTTTAACTTCCAGGAATTTCTAGTTTCACAGAAGCACTTTCTGGCCAGTCCCCAACCCACAATTCCATAAACTCCCTCTAACCTACTCTCTCCCCCACTGTCTCATATGGTCAACACTGGCCTCAAGTGTCCTTTGAGTCCTTGAAATGGGGCTGGCCTGAATTGGGCTATGCTGTAAAACACAGAATGTGTTTCGAAGACTGAGGGGAAAAAAGGGTAAAGTTTCTCATTAAGAATTTTCTATGTTGATTAGATGTTAAAAAGATAATATTTTAGATAAGTATGGGTTAAATAAAATACATTATTAAAATTAATTCCACCTCTTTCATTTTATTTTATTATTCCATTCTGTTCTATTCCATTCTGTGCTATGCTATTCTATTCCACTCTGTGTGGTATCGGGACATTTAAAGTTACACACGCAACTTACATTGTAATTTCTATTAGATGACTGTGGTCTTGAGAAACCACAGCATGCCACAATGGTATCAAAAACAATAATAGTGGATTGACTACTCTAGCTATTCAGATATGTTACCACGTTTAAGTCTTCCAACAGAGCTGCAAAGTGGGGATAGTTGTCTCCATGTCTCAGATGAAGAAACAGAGGCTTAGAGAGGTGGAGTCCTGGCCTGAGCTAACCCAGACTGGGAAGACCTAGACTTACTGGAGTATCCCTTTCTTGTAAAGAACTTGAAAAAGAGAGAGACCCATGGGGAAGGAGTAACTGAGGTGAGGGAGAGGGAGGACTTCCACAAATGTTTCAGGTGCTCCCCTCACAAACAAGACCCAGGGTCCAGCTTTTCCTGGCCGCCCCCTTCAGCATCTGGTATGTGACTGTGTCAGTTAAGCCCAGGTCCCTCTCCCTGAGGATGCTTCAGTGGGAGTCCCAAGATGCTGAATCAGAGAAGTCACTCCCTGCCAGTGGAGGAGAGGATGTTTACAGAGAATCTGTTATCACAGGGTAAAGATGTTTTATTTTATTCTCTAATAATAGATACTAATATTGTCATATCCCCATCTCCTGGATGGGAAAAATAAGGCACTGAAAGTTCAGGTGACTTGTCCAAGGTCCACAGCAGGGAAGGGTAGGGCCAGGATTAAAGCCTGGGTGGGTGGGCTAATCCTGCCACATTGGCTGGGGATCAAGTGCACTGAGTTTGGCATATACCAAGAATCCATTCTGATCCCCTGATCTTACAGATAAGGAGAATGAGGCTCAGAAAGGGTCAGAAAGTTGCTCAAGGCCACACAGATCGGGGAGAATGTATGAGGTCAGAAAGGCCCTTGGGAAGATGGGGGTGCCTTCAGGAGGAAGTCACTAGGCCTATTTCAAGTCTGCCCTCTTCCTAGAAACACTTTTAGGAAAGAAGGGGACCACCCTTGTGGTCCCCTTTCCCAGTGCAGTCAGAGAGCTGGGGCTTCATTGGAACTTCAGTGAAAGAGAATCCACAGTCAGCTGTGAGCTCACTGTCTAGGCATCCATAGCTCCGGACGCCAAACCATCGTGTCCTCAAGACCCACGGAAATGGGGCAACCCTGGAGGCTCAGATGAGGGGGAACAAGGTCCCCAGCTGTGGCCTCTTCCACCCTAATTTTCTGAGGATCACTTCCTCTGCCAATCCCCTGTAGCAGCCCCATGCCCCTGTTGACTCAGGCAGGAAACCAGCCAGGGCAGTTTCACTTCCTCGTCCTCACAGCCCCTCTGGCTTGCCCAGCTGGCAAGATTTGCTTTTTTCTTTCCTTTTGGAACACAAGTTCATGGGCGAAATGTTAGGGTCCTGCCAGGAAAAACGTTCATTTAGGTAGAGGGGGAAGGTGGAGGCAGTAGAGAAAAAGGATTCGGGTGGAATAATTGTATCCGAAAAGCCACATTTAACGTCTGCCCTGTCCCTGGGGAAGAGGCCCAGAGGGACAGGCAGAGAGGACAGGCCTAGAGGTGGGACTTGGGCTCCTTTCTGCCCCCCAGGACACAAGGGCAGCTCATAATCACTTGCAAGTTCCACGGCTTTAAGGCTCCTGAATTCTCCATTCTGAGGAAGGGGAGTTAGGATCCCACTTAACAGGTGGGGAAACTGAGGCTCAGAGAGGTGAAGGGACTTGGTCAGACAGGGAGTGGCAGAAACGGGCACAGAATGAAAAGTGTGGACTTTACCAAAGTCTGGGGATCTTGGCTCCAGCATTAAGGGGGATTTGTGGGCCAGTGAAAGGGCTGAAGGAAAAGTCGGGCAGGGCAGTGGCCCAGGGAAAAATACTGCTGTTTGGGGAGCTGGAAGGGGTGGGGTAACGGGGGAACAAGTGGGTTGACATTCCAGACCCCATACCTCTCACACCTGAATGACATTCCTTACCCCTGGGGTCCTCCTCAAAGGAGCAGGCGTTAGAGGGACAAAGGAAGCAGGTTTACCAGAGTCCTTGGTCCTATATGCACTGCCAGTGGGATTGGCTCCAGGAACCTCCTTGTGGCACAGCTAGAAGATACCCAGAGCTCATCTTGACCCAGCCATTGCTCTCTGATTTCAGAGAAAAGTTAAAAGATTATTTTCAAGAGGGTGAAATCTACTCTTGACATACAAAAGTGAATATGTGTTAAAATTTTTATTGAACTCATGTGGGATCCAGGCAGATGTTATGTTATACATATGGAGGCAAATTGATTTTATCACTGGGGAGGAGGGTTGTCAATGGAAGCTCTGTTGGAAGGGCTTGAATTTGCAAGTCTACAGATAAGGGTGGTTTGGTATCGCTATCAGCTGCTTACAATTTACAGAGCTGTAAAATCTTTCAAAGAAAATGCTAATGCTATGAATCAGACAGCCCAGGAGGGTGTGTTGTACAGAGATGATGCACTGAGTGATGGTAACTTAGTCACTGAAACTGCAAAATTTTCTTTGCAGAAACAATTCCTTCCTTCATTCACCAAACACCTAGAGACAGAAAGCAGATCAGAGGTTGCCAGGGACTGTGGGGAGGGGGAATGGGGAGTGACAGCTACTGGGGATGGGTCAACTTTTGGGTGATAAGTTTTGGGTAATCGTAAAAATATTTGTGAATGTACAAAATGGCACCGAATTGTATACTTTTTTTAAAAAAAATTGATTCTAGGGAGAGGAGGAGGGAAGAGACATTGATTTGTTCTACTTATTTATGCATTCATTGTTGTTTTTTAAAAAATCTTCACCCAAGGATATTTTTTCCATTGCTTTTCAGAGAATAGAAGGGCGAGAAACATCGATGTAAGAGAGACACGCTGATTGGTTGCCTCCCACATGCACCCCGACTGGGGAGATTAAGCCTGCAACTGAGGTACGTGCCCTTGGCCAGAATCAAACCAGGGACCCTTCAGTCCATGGGCCAACTCTCTAACCACTGAGCCAAACTGGCTAGGGCTCAATGGTTGATTCTTGTATGTGCCCTGACCAGGATGCTCTAATCAAGCAAGCTACCTGGCCAGGGCCTGAATTGTATACTTTTAAATGCCAATTTTATATGAGTTTTAACCACACACACATACACAAAAGCAAGGAGAGCAATTTCACACACATAAAAACCCTAATTTACACCTGAAGAAATTGGGAGTTGTGGCAGCAGAGCCTGAATTTGAAGAATACACTTTCCAGTTTGGGGTTTCCTTGGGCCCAGCCTAATCACTGTGCTGTGAACTACCCCTCACTCCCAACAGAGGGAAGGCAGGGCAGTCACCAGGTCAGAGCTCCACAGGCATGGTCCAGTCTAGTAGACTCAAGTGAGGATGTGAAGGGAGTGCCCAGGATGAAAGAGAAGAGAATCTTGATGTACGAAGAGTAAGGGGATGGTCAGCTGAGAGTACACACTGGGACTCAGCCAGCTCTGGAATGTTAACATGACCCAGACTGGGAAGAAGTGATGTACAGAATGCACTAAAACAATGCATGGGCCACAGGCACACTGGATGTTATGACCCTTTTAATAGACAGAAGTGGCTTTGAGCAGTTCATAAGTGCATTCTGGTTTAATAAGCATTGTGAACCTACCAGATGGTGTCAACACCCGTCCTACAGATGGGAAAATGGCTCCTTACACCTCCTGGCTTGTCCCAGGAAGATGGGGTACCTTGGCATGCCTGGGGAGGGCATGCAGGTAAGGAGACTGGTGTGAGTCACCTGGGTTGGAGGGAAGTAAAGACTCTCCATAAGCTCCCAGGATGGATGTGCAGAAGCCCAAACGCCCCTCCGAGAACGTGTGGCTGGACTCCTGTTGAAATTGCTGAGATTGAGCGGGTCAGTGCACCTGGCCTATGGCCCTCGCACTGGCCTGCTCACAGGAGCATGTGACTGCAGGAGGAATGACAAAGCCAGCTTTATTGCTCTGGGTTAAATCAGTGGACAAAGAAATTGGGGGGTGGGGGGAGAGGAGTGGTTAAGAAAGTTGGTGAACATTTCTTCATGGCCACTGCTGAGTTCTTGGCACCCTGAGAAGCTGAGCCATACACTACCGATGTGCTGGTCATCTGCTCACAGGCCAGGCCCCACCCCCAACCCAGTTCAAAGTTCAAGCTGCAACCCAAGGCTCCGGGGAGCAGGAATCCTTTCATTCATGCTGCTGCCTGTGGAGTCACCTGTAGAGGTCCGAGCATGGAGGCAGGGGCTGCATCCTTAGGAAGGTGTCTTGGTGGAGGAAGAGGCTGCCTACTTCTTCTTGGCAGGGGCTTTCAGCAGTGCCAGCTTCTTGGGCAGGCTGGTGCTGGCTTTCATCACCACATCATGTTCAATCTTCTTCCGAATCCCTACCTCTAGGTCCTGAGGGGACAACCAAGGGGCAATTAGACTGGGACTTGACAGAAGGAGTGAGGGAGGGCCTGACCTGGGGCTGGATCAGAATCTCTCCCTGAAACAGCACCTGAGAGTCTGGTGGCTGTGGTTTAAGTCCTGCTTTTGTCCCACACTCTTTGTGGTATTATTCACACGCCAAAAATCCTTTCTCATCTCTGGACCTAAGCTTCTAAATTTCTGCTCACTCCCATTTCACCGATGGGGAAATTGAGGCTCCTGCAATGAGGCAGCTGCCCAGGGTTTGCAAACCACAGAGTGAGGGGATACTGGATCCTGGAATGCCCAGAGCCTCTGGTCTCAGCCTCCAGGTGGGCAATCCCTCCTGTCCCATGTCATCTCCATTTTGCACATGGTGAACTGGGGCTCTGAGACAGAGATGTGAACAAGATGTGAACAGGGATTAGAAGCCAAGTATGTTTGGGTTCAAAACTGGTAGTTTAATCATATTCCCCAAACCGCCCCTTTGCCCTGTCTATAGGAACTCCAATGACCATGACCGCCACTACTATAACCACATGCCTGGGCACAGGGGACACAGCAGCACACAAGACACAGAAAAACCTCCACCTTCACGGAGCTGGCATTCAATGCATGTGTGGAGACAATATAAATGCCAATGATGTTAAATGATGGTAAATGGTGTTATGGAGGGAAAAAACAAGGGCTAGTGAGGGTGGGGCCGTGGGGCTGCCACCAGGAACAGGCTGCTCAGAAGCAACACTTGCAGTCAGACTTGACTCAGGAAGGGAGCCATGTGGACTTCTGGGAGAACTGGGGAACAAACAGCCAGTGCAAAGTTGAGGTGGGACAAGGAGCAGTTTAGGGGCCAGTGAGGCTGGAGGGATCAAGGGGGAGAGTGGGAGGAGAGGGCAGGGAGGTAACAGGGGTAGTGTGTGTGCAGGGCTTTGTGGAGGACTTGGGTTTTCCCTGAGGTAGGAGCCAGGAGCTTTCTGAGCAGAAAAAGCTACATGCTCTGACTTTTAAGTGCTCACAGGCGCCCTCTGGCCGCCATGGGGGATTGGGAGATCAGGGAGGAGTGACTGCACTGGTCCAGGAAGATAATGAGGTGGACCAGGAGAGGGGGATTGGGGAGGTGGGAAATGGGTGGATTCTACATTACAGGCATTAAGGATGGAATCTGACCTGGATATGAGAAGGGGGGAGGGGGTGCAGGGGAGATCCAGGATGATCCTGAATATTTTGAAATTTGGAAGGACAGAATCTTCCTGAGTGAAGATTGGAGGTAAGCCGCTGGGTACCCAGGTCTGAGAAAAGTGAGGCTCTGGGGGGAAACTAAACAATTTGCTGAAGGTTACACACTAGTTAGGTGTGGAAAACAATTCAAACTCAAATCTGACTCCACCAAAACCAGTTTTAATTTTCTGAAACTTCTTCATAAGCTCAACCCTACTCACCTATATAAAAAAGCTGCACTTAAAGACAAGCACAGAAATGACAATAACCAATGTAATTAACGTTTATTTGTGCCCTGTGCTGCTATCAGTGCTTTACAGGTGCCCTATAGCATTGAATCCTTATCACACTAGGAGAAGGGTGCTATCACTATGATGTTTCACAGGTAAAAGGCTTATGGTGAACAAACAGTCAAACTCCGGTTCTTGAATGTCTCCCATCTTGAACATTTCGATTCTCGATCAAGTTGTTCACAGAAAAAAAGGTCTCAGTTTTCGACCCAACAACCTTTTCATGCTGATACCCCAGCAAGACAAGAAGGGTCTCTCAGGCAACAAAGGAGAGAATGCTTTTGTTCCTGGTGAAATTGACGTTTAGCACAACTTTAAAACATAAAGAGATCATCAAGAATGTTAATGCTGCTAAGGGTGTGAAAGAAACAAGGATCACAGGCAATTGAAGAGGTAGAAAAACTGTGTTGATCTCATAAATGAAAAGCAGTTAACCAATGACAACCTCTCAGAGGCAGTGATATATAAACAAAGCTAAGAGGATGCATGCTGACCTGAAAGACACCCCTGTAAGGAGTGCTGAAAATGATTCGCTTAAGGCTACTAGGTTCTATAAATTTAAGAAGTGTTTATAGATTAAGCACTACATTAGACATGTACTGTATGTAAGAAAGGTTAAAACGGGGAATCATCTGTGGGTCTGGAATGGATTAATTCAATTTACATATTTCTAATGGAAAAAATTATTCCGTTTTCAAACAAATAGCTTCTTGAAACGGCCTTCTGTAACGAATTAAGTTCCAGAACCGATGATCTACTGTACTAGTCATGGATGGAACTGCGATTTGCACCCACCACTGCCTTCTTGCAAAGTTGGGGTTTCAACTCCTTTCCCATGCCACGGCCCTCCCGAGTTCTATTCAAGAGTACAGTAACAACCAAAGCAGCGTAACGCGTGTAGAATACTTTCTTCGCGCCAAGCCTTGCTTTACGAGGCCCACTGGATAGTAGGTATGTTCTCGTACACTGCACACGGGAGGAAACTGAGGCTCAGAGAGTTGGGAGTTCTCCAGGTTCCATCCCCGGCCCTACCCGGTTCCAGACTTCATCTCTGGGTCCTTCCCTTCAGAGACTTCTAGACTCATTCCCGGCCCCTCGGGCCGTTCCAGCTCAAACCTCCGCGCGTTTCAGACTCAATCCGCTGGCACCAGGATCCATTTCTGTTCCACCGCGCTGACCTCCAAAACCCATCCCTTGCCTCTCACACGCCCCCACTCACCTTCTTGAGCTTTCGCTGTTGCACAATGCGCGCCTTCTTGGGGGCGATAACGCGACCTGGGGAAAGACGCGCTCGCGTGAGTTCAGGAAGTCCCGGGCCCACCTCACTCAGCAGCCCCGGGCCGCTCCTCACCTCCTTTCCTCGGGCCCCGGTTCCGCTCCGAGGCAGCGGCCACCGCCGCCGTCTTGCTTTTGGCCGGCTTCTTCGCCTGGAACTTGCGCTGACCCTGCGCCATGATCTGACGTGCGCAGGAAAAGGCGGGGCTGAGCTTGTAACCGGAAGACGCAAGGCACGATGGGATACAATAGGACCGGGGCGCGCAAGGGCCCACGGGAAACAAGGTAGCAAAGTTTTGTGTTGGGACGAAGGTGGTCCAATAGGGCGTTTGGTAAAAACTTTAAAGGAAGGTCGAGACACAAAAACAGGAAACAGGCTGGTGAATCTCAGACGGAAGGTGGGGTGGTTGGGAAGAAATCAACTAAAGTACTTATATGAATATGCATAACCCATGGGCACAGACAATAGTGTTGTAAAGGCCTGGGAGGTGGGGTGGAGCGGGGGCAGGGTAGAAGGGGTAAAAGAGGAAAAAAAGAGGATATCTGTAATACTTTCAACAATAAAGATAAATTTTTTTTTTTCTCTTTTGGCCTTTCTTCATCCTTTCAATATATTCCAATACCCTGCTGATAGGTATAGTAGGCTAAGTAAGACTCTCCCGCCCACCCACAAAGCGGTTCATGTCCAAATCCCTGGTATCTGTGAAAACGTTCTTAAAAAAAATTTTTTTTAAGGGGAAGGTTATGATATGCTAACATTTACTGGGCGCTCATTTGTTTTGTACAATGTATACTGCTTTATGTTCTTTATATACAAAATTCAGTCCAGGACATAAATGAGGCGAGTTAGGCATTTACGGTGCGAAACTTAAGGGTGTCCAAAATTCTGTAATCAAGATAGTGTTTTCAACGTTAAAAAAAAAAGTCAAATAGTGAAACTACTGCCTGTAGACTGGCGGCCTGGTGTTGTAAATAAAGTTTTATTGGAACAAGGGCTGGTATCAAAGATGAGGTAACATAAAGGTGTGCAAATGTTGGATACCATTCTATTTAATATCTTGGTATTTTGTTCATGTATTTTTAAAAAAATATGTCTTTATTGATTTCAGAGAGAGGAAGGGAGAGGGGGAGAGATAGAAACATCAATGATGAAAGAGTCTTTGATCGGATGCCTCCTGCACTCCCTCTACTGGGGATCAAGCCCGAAACCCAGGCTTATGCCCTGACCAAGAATCCAACTATAATTTCCTGGACCATAGGTTGATGCTCAACCACTGAGCCACATCAGCTGGGCTCTTCATGTATTGTTTTGCATTAATTTTGATTTTTAAAAATATTACATGAAACTATTATTTATCTTGGTTACTGGGCTCTTTGGTGTCCCCTTTAAAATTTTGCACTTGAGGTATTACCCTAGTTCCAGTCCTGAGAGCAACCTAAGAAGGCTATACGAATTGTCTCCATGTTATAAATTAGGAAACCAAAGTGTGGAGAGGTCAAGTGACTTGGCCAAGATCACACACCAGAAAAAAGTGGCAGAGCAAGGATTTGAACTTGGGTAGCCTAGCTCGAGCTGCTGCACTTTAAAAAA